GCAGCAAAGGCCAAAAAAAAGGCATGGAACAGCTCAGCCTCCGAGTCGCCGCCGCGGGGCCGTCCGCAGGCACGCCCGCAGCCAGCGCGGCCGACGGCTTTCTGCGCTCGCAGAACCGCATCTCGCCAGCTGCGACGCTCCTTCCTCCTCGCATGATGTTGTACCCGGATCTCCCGACTTTGTTTCTGCACGCCCATGCAATTCTGGCTGCATTCTTCTATCTGACCTAGTTTCTACTTTCTGCAGGACTCCTGACAAGTTTCTGTAACAAGTAAAAACACGAGGGGTGTTTTAGAGGGCTCTGCTTTCATTTTACTCTTTAAACCAGGGCTATTTTTTAATCTTCTCCCTCTGTAAATCCAGCTGCCTTAGTTACCGCTAGCCCAACTCAGAGGGAGATGGAAAATCCTTCAAAAATTACCTAAAGCAGCTTTTTTAAATACCTAAAATTATTAAGATTTAAAAGCACAATGTCACAGGAATTTCAGGGCACGGGGAAAGAAGCGCCCGAGCGCGGCATCGGGACTCTGCCCACAGAAGCGCTCGCATTCGCCGTGCCGTCTGTCACGACATACCAGCTCCTCCACGTCCGGCACGCTACCCGGCCCGCTCCACGTGCCACCGCGCCGCTGCTCCGAGGGAGAACAGCTTCTTTTACGTGGCCGATTTAAGAAGCGCCGAGCGCTCCACGAGCCCGTTCAGAAAGCAGAACTGGCGCGGCGGCCCTGCAGCGGAAGGGTGTGCGGACAACGCGCAGATGAGCCCTGAACTTCTCACGACAAATAAAACCTCGCTACGAATTCACAGCTTTCCTTTTTCTATTCTATTTCCTATTTCTGTTCTAATCACAATGCGCTACAGAAGGTAAAAGAGAAGGTAAGAAAGGAATTAAGATGAAGCACAGAAGGGAAGAGGCTGGGTTACGACCCGGAGGAGACGGCTCTTCGCTCTGCCGCGGCAGAGACGGGGTAGGAAGCAGAGAGGACAGCAGCAGGCAGCCATAAAGCTGGTGACAGCCAGAAAAAGTGAAGTTTGGGGGGGGAAAAAAAAAAAGTAACGTTCAGGGGCATGTGCCCTTTCAAAGAACGCAGGAGCCATCTCTTCAAAGTGACAGCAAAAGGCATTTCTGGATGACAAACTGGCCACATAAGCCAATCGCGCTTCTCAAAAAGGCAGGCATATGCCACCACGCACGGCACGTCCGTCCCCGGTGCGAGCTAGAAACAATCCTCGGCCACGAATCCCTTTTCCATTCCTCTGCCAACATCAGCACATCTCCCCCCCACCCCTCGCTTCCTTGGTGGTTAATAGCTTCTCATCCGGGGCTGGCAGGGGGTGCTTGGAACGACTGCAGGCAGAAAAATTACCCAGGAAAAGGATTCCTCCTCAGCACGTTATTATAAGCTTGCTGGAAGCCAAACAATTAGGCCAATTGTTTTCTCTCTCTCATTTAGCTGTTTTGTATACACACAGACTTTCTGCTGGTCCGCTGACCCCCGCGCTCCTCCGCCACCACACGAACGTCACGCAGCCGGCCGGCCAGCTCCGGCCAGCTGATCTCGGGCGAGCGCAGCTCTTATCTGCTCCGTGTAAAGCACATTCTCATTAACTGGAATTAAACCGGCATTAATCTAGAACCATGACTGATGGCCGTATTAAAACATTAACTCTTCCCAGCCAGGAGAGCCAGTACCTTTTGGTCAAGGGGATATTTGGCATCCTGCGCCGCTACCGCCGCTCAGGATCCGACCTGGGACGCCCGCAGGGCTCTCGATATGTCTCATGGACACAACGCTCCGGCTGTAAAATGGAAGACTTGCAACCAGGCAAAGAAAAATGAAGTTATTCTAGGTGACGCAGGGTTCGAGAGTCGCACTCCCCACTCTGCCTCGCTACAGACCGGTCCCCCCCACCCCGAGAAGGCACCGAGCGGGCGACGGGACGGGTTCCCTGCGACAAGGAACAGGAACGCTAGGCGCACGTACGGAGATTTGCGGCAAAAATCCTTTGTTTCACCCCCAGCCCAGGGAAAGGCGCTGGGGAGCGGAGGGCTCGAGCGGGGACGCCCGAGTCGGGGCGACCTCGGAGCAGTCGCTTCACCTCTCTGCTTCCAACCCCTGAACGGCCGAGGGTTAATCAGCTAATTGCTCGTGAGGCAGTTTGAGACCTCCACGTTACAGAGGAGATATAAAAGCCAATTATTTTAGTCATCTGTTCGGACGGGGAAAGGTATTTGATAATGTAATACAAAGGTGGCAAACAGAGCTTTTATGTTGTCCCAAGGGCTCTTGCTGTCCATTTGGTGCCAACACTTTCCCAGCAGGAGACTTACAAGGCTATTTTATACATAAAGAGCAAACCACCCCCTTGGAGAAACGCTCCTGAATCCCAGCCACGACGCAGGCAGCTCCCTCTGCAGCATCCAACCCTGCATATAAAACACGCAGCTCAACGTCCTCCCCCGGGGAGCGGAGGGCTGGAGTGCTGCGGGGAGCAGCTGCCACAGAGAGGGAACATTTACAAGTGTGGGGGGTTAAGTACAACTAACAGGAGTCAAGGGATGGTAGCTTTAGGTCAGCGAGCGTGTGCTTTAACAGGAGGCCTCGGAGGGGAGAGTCAGTGCTACAGGGAGATAAACGCTTGCTTGATTTATTTTAAAAATTAATTTGATGGCCCCGTGCTGCCTCGAGACAAATGAGCACCTGCCTCTCCTGCTCCAGCACCGCCAACCTTTCCGTCCGCCTGCCCTCCTCCCAGCGACCGGGGCTCGCTTCCCCTTCAGGCAGGGAGGAAGAGGATTTTAAACTTGAAAGATTTCTACCCCAGAGGGCTAACAGAGGGGGAAGGGGGGTTCAAAGCTACAGATGAGTTCACAGCCACTAACGCAGCTCTGCATTTGCTCCCTGCTCACAGCAGGTCTGAAATCCCCCTTAGCTACGATTCTCCCCCCCATCCCTACCCCTCCCCAAACCAATTTGAATAGGAAATGAAGTGTGGCTCCGCGGAGACAATGCTTTATTGTAAAGTTTTTTCTGCGACGCACGGTATAAAAACCTGCCAAGACACATGTAAACATTCGCAACCGCCAGGCTCCTCCATAATGAAAAGCTATAAAGAACACCCAGGTGGGAAGCACAATACTACCAGCTAATTAAAGTAACCAATAATATTCCTCCCAGGAATGCAAGAGTGTGTTCCGCTCAGTGGGAGAAGCCACTTCTAAGCCCATGAACTCGGCTTCCTGGTGGAGGAAACAAAAAAGGGACACGGCGCGGCGAGGCGAGCCCTGCCGCCGGACACCGCTCCGCAGAGCGGGGCCGGAGCTCGCGGGGGACACAAAGCCCAGCGCCGGGCAATCCGGAGGCTCCGGCCAGCCCTGCCACCGACTCCTGACCTTGGGCGAGTCATTTTCCCCACCGGTGGGTCTCCATCTGGACAACGGGGAGCGGGTCATTAGCACACGGCGAGCTGCGTTTGCCGGTGAGCGGCTTGGGGAGATCAGACCTCGCACTTCAGCGGTTTCGGGGTTTTGCCACGTACAGGGGCCACGGCGCAACCTGGCAAGCCCGCTCCTTCCATAAGCCCCGGCTTTATTAAGCTGCAGCCACACAATCCTACCCAGGGAAGGCCACGGCCATAAACACTGACAAGGCATATATTCCTCCTGAAAAATGGGAGCTCCTAGTGACAGGGTTAATGATGTTTGAGCAGCCTCTCACCCTGAGCTCCACATATCCCGGCTTTAATGCACTGGCCTCCTTCCCCCACCCCCAAAGGGACAGGATAGGGAAGGGGGGGGAACAGCGACCTCCAATGCCAGATATTTTCTACATCAGTGAATTCCCAGGGCCAGCGGAATAAAGCAGAACACTGGTACGTGGAGAAACAGGCAGCAAAAAAGGTCAAATCCATCCCCCCAAGGAGGAGAGGGGCTTATTTCACAGGGATGGAAGAAGATGAACCTCCCCTGGCTCCTACCCGTTTCCGCACCGAGAGGAGAGGTCTCCATGCCAACATTATCCAGCTGTTACAGCCGGACAATTTCTTTTTCACTCACCGCTATTTCTGAGCAGTGCTGCAGCACAAGGTTCGTTACAGCCCAGAAAAAGAAAAGGCTATTTTTGTTTGGGAAGCGCACGGCGTGCCGTATTCATCTCGGAGCATACATTTATCCTTTCTTCTGTTTTCCCCAAACACGCTAAATTCATCTTCGCCCCGGTTTGCTACAGAACACGTTTAGGCAGAGGATTATGGCGCCGGTAAGCACCCGTTCCCCTCCGAGCACGCCCTGCGGCCCCCCAGCACGCCCAGCGAAGCCCACCCTTCCAGCCGGAGACAGAGCGCGGCTGCCTCTCCCGCCCCACCGACAGACCCCGCAGTCAGCCCAGCACGCGAAGGCTGAGCTAAATCAGCTGCTAGGCGTGGGGACCAGAAGAGGGGTTACGCTAGAAGCCTGCGTGTATTTCTCCCCTGGAAAAAAATAAATAGCTTTAAGACCGAATTCATCCCCCTACAAAGCTCATCTCATTTGTACTTCAAAGAGTTATTTCCTACCGGGGAGCTCTGGACGCCTTCTCTTCAGAGAGCTCATTACCTTGGTCTTTACAGACTTGGCTCCCACCCCAATCACAAATGGGCGCTTACGCAGCGCGAGTCAAGCGCCTGAAAACAAACCAATTACACAGCCCGCTAAACGGTGCCTCTTCCCATGGTAAAATTTGGATGAACGAGCTTAAAATTCGACACCTCTATTCAGCAGTCGTAACTCTCTCAAAACCATATCAAGAGTCACACACACACAAAAACAAACAGAAGGAAAGATGAGGGAAACGGTGCTGACAAGACCCCCCCCAGGGGCCGGGGCCCACGCCGCTGATTTAATAACAAGATGTAAAACCTCAGGCAGCAGCAAGGCTTTGAACGGTCACGGCACGCTACGAGCCGGAGCACTGGGCTAAGCTGGAGGTGCAAAGAGCGTCCTGGAGGCCAAGGCACCTTACCTTCTTGGAGAGCGAGGAGACATTCAACCCAAATCTCTGAGCCCTTTCCTTTAATTTATCCATGTTTACCTACAAAGACATAGGAAACAATTTATATTTTTTTTTAAACCACCATCACTCAAGTTGCAGGGGTAGAGATAAGGCCGCCTCCCGGAGCAGACTTGTGCACGGTGATCGGCCCCAGGGAAAACTCCTCTGGGCACCGTGCTGCGCTGCCATCCAGCAGCCACAGCTCCCGCCGGCACCGCGGGCCGCAGGCAGAGCCGGTGTCCCAAACGGAGCAGCCAGAAGCTGCCAGCCTGCCCCGTCGCCTCCGCGAACCACCCGACAGATGAACGCCCCAGGGGCTGCTCCTCCGCCCGAAGGAGCAGTCGTTTCAGACTGTTGCCGTGAGCCAGCTGTACCCGCTGCCTTTCCTGTAGCGGCCTCGTCAACGCAAACAGAAAATAAAGAGCCTTGCAGGCGAGCTTGGCAGCACTCCCAAAAGGTACCACTGCTCTCTGGCTGCCACAGGTTCAAGAAGCCATTGCTGCACCCTCACCCTTCCAAAACTACCGCGTCACACCTCAGCAGGTCCCCGGGCCAAGCAGCTTCCCGACACCTCCCCCAGCCGGACTGGTTTCCCAGAGGGGCATCGGCCACCGTTAGGGCACTTATCCCCAGCGAACAGGGACTTTCAGGGACAGGCCTGCCAGCACGCAGCTCTGCAAAGGAAACCCTGGTGCTATTCTGCCTCGCAGACGCTCACGCGAGATCTTTTATGTCCCTGGCACCGGAGAAAGCCATAACCTTGCCTGGTGACAGATCCTGGCCTGGCTTAACTCTGTTCCGCTCCTCCTCAATCGAGTGTGCAAACACCGAGCCAGCTGCCCGGTGCGACAGAGCGCTCAGCACTGCACTTCGGTGCCTCCTACTCAGACAGGCAAAGCGGCACCGGCCATTAAAAGCAGAGTAATTTCCTACAGGTCATTCATCATTTCTGTTCCTGAAGCATAGTTCAAGCCATTGAAAAAAAAAAGCAGGGAATGAAAATCAGGCATATGAAAAAAAACCCCAAATAGCCATCTTCGTTCCTTTCAGCATTTCATTCTAAAATCGGCCCATCCGGGAGGAGTCACAAGAGCCAGCGCGGGGACGGGAGGCCGCCGAGCGTGGCGCAGGCAGGACAGCCGGGGGGGCCCCGCCGGAAACGCTCGCCCCCCGTACGCTGTTCCTGGACCACGCTGGTAGCTCACCCCCGCAGGCGGGAACCCCTTTCTACAAATTACAACACGTGTGAAGGGCCCGACCAGCGGTAACTCGAGAACAAGAAGCATTTCTTACCGTGGGTTTGCTGTCTGCAGAGAGGCCTGAAATGAGGAGGCAAGAAAAAGAAATCCCAGTTAGAGAACAAGCCTCAGGAGCAGCACCTTACCTACAAGGAGGCGCAGTAACCTCACAGCGCCGCCCGACGCAGCCCTGCACCCGTCCCACCACAGACTAGTGCGGAATCGCCGTCCCGTTTTTCCCAGCTTCCATCTCTGCTCACTACAGAAGGAGTCTCCCCATTTCTTTTTCACTTTCAAATCAGCTTCTCCACCCGCGAAACTGCTGCCGTCCCACCTCGCTAAGACGGCTGCGGCAATCGAACCCGACATTTTATGAAGCCAAACGCTGTTTGGCTCTCTGTTCAAGGACAGCACAGGAAAATCGGGCTAGTGTCTTCCAGTTGGGCTTAGAAAAAAAACAAATGCTGGGAAAAGCATCTGAACTACCAAGGGAACAACACGTGTCCTTCTCTTCCCGATTCTACAATTCCCGCTGGGAGCTCCCAGGCACGGTCGGGAAAAGGGGCAGCAGTGAAAACAAAGGTAGTCCCACCGGCAGTTTTTCTTTCCAGGAATAATTAAGTATTTGCAGTAAGGTCACTCCACGGAGTGGTTCTGCTTCACCTCCTCACCTTTAGTCGAAACTGTGGCCAAACCAAACCTGCCGAAGGTAAACAGAGCTCAGTCAGAGGCGCGGGCAAGGAGAAGGTCAGCCGGTACCTGACACGCCAAGTCTCACGCGTGACCTTTTCCTTCAAAGGCTTTTCACGAGCGTACTTGAGTAAAACTGCTTCGGGGGCAAGATTAAGCAGAACGCGCTGTTATTGCCCGAGGTAATTACTGCGGCAACTCCTGCCCTTGCTCTGCACACAGCGATTCCCCACTTTCTTCATAAAACCAACCTCAAAGCCCAGAAAGCTAGCCGGAGCGCCAGCAGTCCACCGTTTTTCCCTTTCGTTGCCCCGTCTTTGCCGAATAACTGTGAGAACTGCCAGAAATTTCACTGGTATTTGAGCCCAAGCAAGCAGTAAAGCGTGCATCCAGCACTCCACGATCGCAGCCCATTTGACGCGGGGGTCTCCTGCCTCACGAGGGGCACCACCTCCCCGCAGGCGGAACGCAGCACGTGTCCGCAGACCCTCCAGTAAACCTGTCTGTTCAGGCTGGGGGCGACCTCCCCCCCGGCGTTGCTGTCCCCCCACCCGAGCATGGCACAGAGCCACGCTCACCTCGCACCAAGGCAGCCTGCCGCTGGCAGACGTCGCCGGAGAGGTCTTCTCCCACGCGAGAAGAGGGGAGAAGGCTCCGAGCGTCGACTCACCGAGCTGCCCGCGCTGCCTTCTTGCTCTCCAGGCTCACGGGCACGTTGAAGCGTTCAGCCCTCTTCTGCATTCGCTGGAGGAGGGAGAGAAAGGAACGGGCTGAGGAAGAGCCAAGATTTGCAAGGTACAGAAAGGAGGTTCTGCAGATGCAGAGAGGCAGGCAAACTCAACACGCGGCGGGCAAACGCTCCAACGCGCCCCGCTAGACCAGGAAAAACACCCGCGGGTACGGGGAGAGATGCTGCAGGCACCTTCCGTTGGCTCGTGCCACCCAAGAAGCCGCCCACAGCCTCCAGGACGCACGCTTGGCCAAAAGGCGCTCTCATGGTTCTGATAAACATGGGCCTAATAAAAAAAAAAAAACAAACCAAAACAAAAAAGGCATGCCGTTACGCCGCTGCTCAGGGAGCGTTCCTAGGAAAGATGTGCCAAAAGAGAACGGGACCGGGGAACGACAGGCGGGCGACTGTTTTAAGACGATACAAGGCTGCAGCTGCGCTGGAGGCCGGCGTGCCCGCACGCGGGCTGGGGCGCCGCGCACCTCGCCGGGGAAGCCCTCGTGCCAGAGGGAAAGGAGCAGCGCCGCTGGCAGGGACTACAAAGGGAGCGGCCCCGACTTCCCTCCCGGAGGCAGGAAGCGAGTGGTAGGCACAACCGGCTTCGGCCCATTTGCAAGAAGAGAGGCAAACAAGATTTCCTTTTCTTCCCCCCTAAGCAAAAGGCCAAATATGCTAGAAAAGGGGATGGGGGGTGTTTGTTTTCAGGGAACTTATTTATTTGGCACAAGCCTTTTCACAAGAGGCCGACACTATTCATGCCGTTGGCTCAGCCGGGCGAGCAGAGTTTGCCATGAGCAGCGCAATTCAAGACGAAATTCAGCTCCGTAGAAAGGACTGGGCCCGCTGCCCTCGCTGCAGGCAAGGCTCGCCTGGCTTCGAGCACGCTGCCCTGGCCGCGCAAAAGCTTGGAGACATCCGAAGTGCAAGGGTTCGCACCTACGTGTATTAAATCCCCTTAAAAGCTTAAGGGAAATATTTAACATTTTATTATTACACAAGGGCCCAAAAATGCGTTTGGTGTTTTAAAGGTTAGAGCAACAGATATTGTTTTAATGGAAACATTTACTTTAGCCAAAAGCACAGTGAGGAGCGTAATAAACACGTGCATCAAAACATAAATGTTCAGAAAAGATGGATTGGGAACACCGCTCCTTACGGTGTCAGGACTGAGGAACTTTTACTCAACTGAGTAGAAACAATAAAGACAGGAAAAAAAACCCGTACCACAGGGTACCGCTCGGGTCACAGCCCGTTTCCTCGTTCTTTCTGCCCCTTTGAAGAACACCCAAAAGCAACACCCGAGGCGGCAGCTTCCGAAGGGACCCTGGCCTACAGACGAGCCAGGCCAGAGCAGAGGGAAGGCTGCGCTACCCAGCATCCCCGAAGGCGACCGGTACCCTCAGCCGGGCCCTCCGCCTCCTTCACCACCCCAAACACCGACCAAATTTCAGGCCGTGCTCACGTTTGCATTCCTCTACCCCCGACGGCCGCCTTTCCTAGGAATGCGTCTCCTCGCTTTTTGAACTCTACCTCTAGCCTCTGTAACAGCCTCCAGCCGGCAGTTACGCATCGCACGGGAAAATAATTCCCTTTTATCTTCAAAAACCATCTACGACAATTTTGCCCAGACCTGATTCACACTCAATCAAAAAAAAAAAGTGGATTTCCTGCAAATAGCTTTGCAGAATTTGGAGAAAACCAAAGGGCAAGAGCGTCACTTCAGCAAGTTTGCTTCCCGAGCTCTTTTACCAGCTACGGCCAAGGGCAGCCCCACGTCGCGGGGACGTCGCTCCTTCAGCAACACCTCCAGCTCACATTGGGTACTGTGCTGCTCCTCATTACTCCTTCGCGGAGGTCATAATCCTCCGCTTGCGACATCGCCCCGGTTGCTGTGGAAATGATCGTGTCCCAAACAGCAGATTAAAACGCTAAAGCAGCGGCGAGCAGCAGGGAGACAAGAATCATGTTTTCATAGCGATTTCTTTCTTATGGAACACGAGCAAAAAAATAAGGGGGGAGGATTAGAGAACCGCAATCCGATTCCTGAAACTCAAAGTTTCGCCAAGTTTTCCCAGAGGAATCGGCAGCTTTTAAGTGTGTTTGTTTTAAATAAGCCCAGCAAACGCAAGCGACAAAGTCAGAGAAGATAAAGAGGAGATGATCTGCTAGCTCCTATCAGTTCCTCCCCAACTGATTACTCCCTGAAGCGCATCCTCAGCTAAGCTTTGTAGTTTTACATGTCTGAAGCCATCGGGCTGGCAGCAAGTCCCCAGGGACGGGGATGTGCCACGGCCTGCTGCACTCCGCAGCGGAACTTTTCACGTTCGCGAGAGCAGCAAACACAATTTACGCACCAGAGTCGCAACAGGGGCGGTTCAGGTCTATCCGCCTTTATCAGCCAGAGCAGAGGACGCTACGGGGCAAAGTCCACCTTTGTCTGGGGTGGAACGAGACCCCCGCGAGGCCTCAGCCTGTCACTGCCGAGGTGGAAATATTGAGGGAGGGTCAACGGTGGTTGGTGGCGGGAAGCAGCGGCAGCGAGCAGCAGGGGAAGGGGCATTAAGGGACAATCGAGAGAAACGTTCCTTAAGATCGGGCGTCAAAATGAAACGTGCCGCGGGGTCACCACCCCGCCAGGTCACTCCCCAGCCAGTGACCGGCCATTAATATAAAATCAAGGAAAAATAAAGCAGGTTTACAAGGGAAACACTGACACAGCCCCAGCAAGGCACAAAAGAGACTGTGAATGAAGCGAGTAAGGAAAGCGACACCTCGGAGGACGAAGCAGCAGAAGGAACCTTACCTCCATCTGCGATATTTCTGACGTTATTTTCACGACCTTCTTCTCCGTAATCCTAGAGGCGTCGGGAAAGAGAGAAACCAGTCAGAACCGCTCCCGCTAGCTCCCAGGCGTGCCCCCGAGGCAGAGGTGGCGGGGCTCTCCCCGCCACCCGTCTCCGGCAACGCCGCCACCACCTTAGGAGAGGGCCTGTTTTAAAAGGTTGCCGCCGCAAGCCAGCATCCCCCTCGGGAGGGCAAGCTTAGAGCCAGATATCGATGCTAAAGCGCAGTACGGAGCCTGGGAGACTTATAACCGACGTCCAGGGCGTATCAGGGGCAGGGAACACCCGACCCAGTGAAGGCACAGCCACAGGTTCTCCTGCGAGCCCGACTACTGCCCCGAGTGCTCCCGAATCCCTTTGGCAACGATGGAAGCAAGCTGGAAAAGACACAGGAGCCAGCCACACTCTCACCCATTCTCTACGCGGCCTTGGAGGAATAATTACCTCTGTTTAAGGCAAAAAAAACGCTCTGCAATTTAGCAGGGCACTGCAGACGCTTCTCAAAATGCCGGGTAGGTGTTACAGCAAGAGGCCGCAGACCTACGTGCCCAGGAGTAGCCCCCTGCCCATCTTACGGCTCTTAACAGTAACATTCAGCTCTTGTTAGAAGCCCAAAGCCTCAACTGCAGGCCCCGAAGAGCTTTATTCCTTTACGGCCCTCAAACACAAAGGATTGTTCTGTTCTAGTTCATGGGACAGCCACAGGCAACGTTCCCCAGGTCAGCACCAGCACCCCGAGCCCAGGCTCCATTTCAAACACACACTTCCTGAACAATGCGCCGCTGACAACAGCGGGACCAGTAAAAAGACCGAACGAAAATATAATGGAGTGGGCGTGCTCCAAAGTTTATGCTCCGAAAACAGAGCTCAGGCTCGAGGGGGGAAACAAAAGAGGAAGAGACAAAGTTCGGAAGTTCCCAGGCTAAATGAAATAGCATCCTCCTCCTCCAAACAACTCCCATAAAACAGTGGGTCACAGCCAGCCTCATTAAGGTCTCCCATTTAGAAAAATGCGCTGCTTTTGTTCCAGATTCCTGGACAGGTTTCTCATTTTATGCCCTGAAAGGTAGTAATGGTTTAATGGCACTTTCACAGGAAGCAATTCTGCCTGGGAGCTGGGCCCCGGCGCTGCCGGCGGCTCGGCGGGCACAGGACGCCCCCTCCTGCCCGCTCGCTTCGGGCTCTGAGCCGCGGAGGGGACGCAGGCAGGCAGGCAGCAGGAGGACAGACAGACAGACGGCCGTGCCATCGCACAGGGCCGAGGCAAGGGCCACAATCCCGCTCCAACGCGTGCTGCGACCTCCTTTCAGCCCCAGCCCCAAACGGGGCGGTACGAAGCTCGCCGCCCCGGCCCTCGCGCCCCGCGGGTTTGCTTTGGGCCACTCGGAACGGATAGTTACACGTCAGGCGATTTTACAGGAGGCTCTTCTACTTTGGCGGGCGGCTCTACCGGCTTCTGCTCTTCCTCCTGCAAGTCAAGGCGTTGAGAGGAGGTCAGATAACGAACGCTCCGGCCAGGCGAGCAAGAGAGAGACAGGCCAGCGGGGACACCGCGAGCCTTTGGGTTCCCACTGGTTTCGGAGGCGCGCGCCCGTCGTTCGGCCTGCGCCCAGCCGCGGGTTCCTGCGCTCCCTCTCCGGCTCGGCCCGCCAAGGCAAGGTTCGCGGCACGAAGCGACACGACGTGCTGGCAGCCTCAGCCTGGCAGGGTCCGAACCCTGGCTGTTACGGCCGCAGACTCCTGGTTTACCCAAGGTCTAATCCCTTCCCAGAGAGCCTGGGCTTCGCAAGCCTTCGGAAAGAACGCGAGCGAGGTGTTCTCCAGCCCGCAAGCGGAGCCAGCGAAGGCCACGGAAACCGCACAGCGCCCGCGCTCGATGCCCAGCGTCAATCTGGCCAAACCCATCTCGCTCCCCACCAAATGCTTTTTGGGAATCGGGGGAGAAACCTTCCGTATCCCCCACCCGCCCTCGCGGGGCGCGCGCTGGCCGAGCGGCAAAGAGCCCGACAGTCGGAAGAATCGGTTTCTGCTGGCGTTTTAAGCGCCAGGCGCCGCCCCGGGTCGGATCTCCTCGCCTCCCTCAGGACAAACTCTCCGGCTGTAAGGCTCGCTCCCGCGCTGGCCAGCCCAGCCCGCGCCTGCCCGCCCCCGGCGCGCCGCCCGGACAACTCGCTCGTGCGTGTCCTTTCTTAAAAGCACCCCGCGCTCCCCCCGCCCTTGCTGTTCCGCTTGTGACAAAGCCCGCGGGGCGACGCGGCGTGAACCCCGCTGAACGCGGACGGAACGACCCCGCTCCGACCTGGCGGCCGCGCGCCAAGACCGCGCACCCGCGCCGCGCGTTCTGCGGGCCAGCGTGGCGACACCGAGCCCCCGCAGCGGAA